CTCCAGGGGGACAGTCACCATTTTTCCTGGTGAGAAAAAAAAAAAACAAAACAGAATTAGCAGCCACTCCTGAATCAGATTTCAGAGACACTTAAGCCAGCGACGCTGGAGATGGTTTTACCTTGAACCTCTCAGAGAAACAGTTAATCATCCCACTGCTACATTAGACATTTGATATTCATTTGGACACAACAGGATTTATTATTTACTGAATCAAAGGTAAATAAATGGGCCAAGTCAGATCAAAATGATTTCTCCACAATGGTGCAGTATTTATAGAAACTGGGAAAGACTAAATCCCATCTCTCCTCAAACTCCCTTGTTGATTTCAATGAGTAAATTAGGAGAGCTACTCCGTGATCATTATCCAGTTCGTTACGACGCAGTGGGATGAAGCACACGGAGCCCTGACGCGGGGAGGCGAGTATCTCCCTTTGCCCTAACGTTCAGGAACAAACAATGTTTTAGTAACACCAGACCTGGCAGATGCAATTAGTGATCTGAAAATCACTGCATCTGAAAATTCACCTGCGGATTTGAGAGCTCCAGATGAGCCAAAGCCTGAGGGTTACGCTGCAGAACCGCCCACCGCTCTGCTCATCATCTGCTCCTTAATTACGTGGCATTTCAGAGATCTCTCTCTTTCTTATGAGATAACTGCTCGAGCCAGGATTACACCCTTTTGAGACAAAATGCCTTCGAGTTGGGATTGAAAGGAAGGAAGTAAAACGAGAACCCAACCAAAGCACTCCAAGGGTGGCAGGTCAGAGCAAGGCACGTCTTCTTGGGAGCAGGGGACTCGGGAGCGGGATGCAATGGTGCATCCACCAGCATCACAGGGACAAGAGCTGGGCTGGCTGGGTGAGCTACGGGTGACGGGAGATCGGCTCAAAGGTGGGTGAGAAGCTTTGACAGGAAAAGGTCCCCCACAAACATCCTCCAGCAAAGTCGAGACAAATTTCACTGTTACAAATTAATTTTCTTTTAGAAGAAAATTCCGTAGCTTGCACTTGATCCCAGTGGGAGAAGATCTCAAAAAGTTACCTGCAATATATCGTATCTCTGGCAAACACATCATTAAATCCGGAAAACGGTTTGGCTGGTGTGGGTATTTGTACTCCGTGAAGTCCTGGCAAACATACCAGTACCGCTTGTTCAGCTGCTCCAGCTGGGACGCGTTGGTCAGACCCCGGATGTCTGAAAGCGAACGCGATTAGAGTAATGAAAATATGATGAAAACACCCAAGAAGAGCAGCAGACCCGCACTTATCACCGTTTCTTCAGCAAAGACAAACTGATTGCTAAAACTCTAAGCTGGGTCCCTGATTTGGGGACTGGCTTCGAGTGGACAAATACTCAAACTCCTGCCTCCCCTCCCGGCGCGCCGGCGTCGTGGCTGCCCCTTACACGCGTGCCCGGGTACAGGATTTCCTTCCACGAAAGAGCAGGATGAGAACAGCTCACATCCTAAGCCGCTGATCTGCAGAGCTCAATGGATGCTCTTGGAGATAACACCTCCAGCAACCTTAAATCCCACCGGCCGGGTGGGAAGCAGCTGCATGTCAAGGCTTAGTCCTCGCGGCGGATCCAGCGTAATACTTCCTCAGACAGAAACATGTTGATTTTAGCTACATCATCTCGGCTGAGGAAAGCGCTCAACTCTGTAATTCAAGGTATCATCATATTTCTCCCCATCTGCTTACGAATTATGTCATATGAGCTTTACAAGCTTGTCAACTTCTTATTTTTAAATTTAGCTTTGCCAATGTCAGGCAACACACACCAAGGGAAAAACGGACGTTTCCAAGCCATCAAACTGGCAGGAAGGCCCGCTGCCTCCCCTCGGCGCGATCCGCGGCATCGGCACGCTGCTGGGGTCCTGGGAAGGATCCAGCGCGGTGCGGCAGGGAAGCTGTGGACCGTCGGTGCCGGCTCACTATTGTAAGACCATCTGACGGAAGAGACATTTATCTACTGCCCAAAAGCTGACTTTTAAAAATAATTCTCAGGTATTTCACATAAAAAATTGCAAACTTCAACTAAAAATAAAAGAAGACAGGAAGTTAATGAAAATACATTTTGGAAAACAATGGAGACAGCTCGAGAAGTGCATTATCCAGTGTCAGGAAACTGCCCAGGGAAGCAAACCGGAACCTCAGCCCGGCACGGATTGAAGTGTCAGCACTATCTCCTGCTGGAAATGAGTGGGGGAGGACAGAGCCTGCAGCACATTTTTACAGACTGCAACTATCTTTCACAGTACAAAAGACTTCGGGGACATTTATTTCCAAAATTACAGCTGAACACCAGCCATTAAGCATTTGCCTCTCAACGGTTTTCTTCATTTACAACATGAAGAAACATCCCACGAGGCCCGCAGAGACTGCACCGACACCGGCACCGGCACCGTTCCGACCAGCCGGGAAGGGGATCCGCAGCAGGGGATGGAGACAGCATACAGGAGTGGAGACAGGGACAGCCCTGCTGAGGACAAACCCCAGCTATTCCAATCTCTTTCAGCCCACTACGGTTGTTAGCAAAGGACCAGGATCTTCCCACATGTTGAAGAATTACTCTGCACAGATTTACAAACGTCTGGGGTCAGTCCCTTCTTAGGCAGAATCCATTGCCTGCACATAAATACTTCATTCATGACTCCTTTTCACTTTAAAGAGCCAGCACTGGGTATAGAATCTAAATAGTAGGAAGCCAACCAGGTGACCTAAGTATATATCCTGAAGGTAAATATTTTAAAGAGTCAGAAAAGCTCTAAAAAAAGGGAGGATTGTTTTTTAAAATTCAGCCTTTAAAGCAGAAAAACCAACAAATACACTTTCTAGTCAGGAATCTTGGGAAGGTTGTTATGCAAATACTCAGTGCTTACTTCAGGAAAAAAAAGCCATGCAAATTAACTGGTTTTAAAGCATCATTTAGCTAATCGCCTGAACAGTTACCTAAAGCAATACTGCTTTTAGATGACCCATCTTTGCCTGAGGAAAAGCTCATTAGCAGCTGGTAAGTCATCACTCACCCAAACCTCATGGTGAAAGGTGTCACTGGCCTCTCTGCTCTGCTCCTACTCTGGCATCGGTACCATTGGTACGTGTGCAAAATGACACACTTACTGTGCTTGGTGTCTATAGTTAAAGGCAATAAAAATTGCCTAAAATGAATTAATTCACTTCCAGACCCTCCTCCCGCAGGTACCCAAGTATCCCACTCCGCACAGCGTGCGGTCTGCACGACGGAAAATGCCTACAGAGAGGTTTCAGAGCTGGAGCCTCTTTGCGGGTCTCGGAGCCCTTCCTCCCATTTCTCATCAGGGAAGCAAAGACGGCTCAGAGCGCTTCAAAGAATTTCTCCAGTGGGACCCACCCATACCTTCTTTTCATCAACTCACCTTGGTTTAGGAAGTTAATGGCTTTCATACACGCGTACTCCTCGTTGCTGACCTTCAACTGGTTAAATTTGCGAAAGAGGTAGATCAACCGCTCCATCACCTCCATCCCCTCTTCACTGAACCTGGAGGACAGAGATCACACATCAACGCATACAGGATGTCCGTACAAGAAAGACAAGAAGCTTACTACAATAACTTCAGAGATTTTAACATCTTGCAAGGGAATTAAAAAAAAACTGCCATCAAAACTGCTTGAAGCCTGCAGAGGAAAAGGTCTGATGGAGCTGGGAACACGCAAAAACTTGTGTGCTTGTGGGCACGCTGCTTTGCCTCTCTGCACCTGCATTTCCCCAGGTCTCCATGAGCATTGTGCCTTTGCACTTCGCTGGGCCAACAGGAGGTTTCACTGAGCAGTTTGGCGAACAAGAGGAGAGTTCATAGAAATGTGGAGCAGTACTTGGCCTTGCAGGACATGAAAACATCCTGCAAAACAGCCGTTGTCCTGCCAGAGGCAAGGGGCAGATGGCACCCCCGTCTGCCGGGTGCTGCACTGCTGCTACCCACGGCAGAAAGCAGCTCACACGTCACGCAGCGCCGCACCTTACTCGGGCTGGATGCTCTTGCAGGATAAAAGCACCCCCAGCAATCCTTGGACAAGCCACCCCAGCAGCGTTCACGTGTTCCCACCCCCCACCGCCTCGCACCTTCCTTCGGTTTGTGCTTCCCACCACCTGCAGCAGCCCAGCGCATCCCGCGCCGGCCGCGGCACAAACGCCCCCACGTCCTCGGGGGACGTGTCCCCCGCAGCTGCCCAGCCCCCCGCCCCCCTGCCGGAGAAATCTGGGATTGGTGCTGCTGTGCAACAAACAGCCCACCCAGCATTCACGGTGCTGGGTTTTTAAAGAAACCCCTCCGTTCTGCAAAGCTGGTAAATCAATTTCAGCTGCTGCCCGTAGGATCAGCGCGATCCCCAGGCTCTGGCTCCACACGGCGCATTTCGACGTGCCAGCTGAGCGGAGCAGCACCCAGGCTGGGCTGCTCCAGGGGCACAGGACCGCAGAGCCCAGACCCTGCCTCCCGCAGCAACGGCTGTTTCCGACGGCAGGGGGACCCACCGCGTACC